AAAAAAAACCATCAAAAAAACCAACACACAACAGAATTGTTATGTCAGAAATACATAGGAGTTCAGTCTACTGAGGTATTTGGTTTCTAACAGCCAACAGAAATAAGATTTGATTTCCTTCATCTTACTCAGGGCATTTGTATGGCTTCCTATCAGGGACAGAGCTCTATTTCCCTTCCTGTGTTTTGCAAAACATACACAAATGAATTTGTTATATTGTACCGGTTTTCTTTGTAAGGTAAACTTGTCCATTGATGAGTTAAGGTCTAAATTGAAGTGTTCCAAGCAAGTAATTTAACCATGAAGCTGAGTCTGTTATACACTTGATGTAACTCAAGCATTAGTAGTTGTGGCGTAGTCTGTATATGTCTTAATTGTATGTTTGCAAGATTCTGAACTACGATTTTCTTTTTGTACTAAGTATTTTGTTTTTAATGTATTTCAGGTATTTCTTTAAATCCAGAGCAGTGGAACCAGCTGAAGGAACAGATTTCTGATATTGATGATGCAGTAAGAAAACTGTAAAGACAGCCATACAAAATTCTATCATTTTAGTTATTTTAAGTGGTCTAAGTTATTGTATATTTTCATTGCAAAGCAATTTGTAAGATAAATCTTTCTTTCTTTTTTAGTGCGTTAAAAGTGTATTCTAAGTGAGGCTACTTGTGTATACTTTACTAAAAGGAGATGTTGCTTATACCTTATGGTGTAAAACAAATAGAGTAATATGTAAAGCATAGCTTTTTATGGCCTTTTGATTAAAGATATTTGCTTACAAGGCTGCGTAATAGCTTCAGGCTTTGTTTCATTTTAGTTAATAGTTTGCTTGCTAAGGAGATTCTTAATGTCTTCACTTATTTTCTTTCTTTTGTTTTAATATCCTTTAGCATTGCTCTCAGCTTTCTGCTTTAAAACTTAATACAAATAGTGAATACTTAATAAAACCTATTTCTGTAGATAACTTTAAATACTGTATTTGCAAACTTACCTTATGTATTCAGATTAAACAGTCCTGAGTATTTAGACTTGTTTGCATTTTTGCATGAAGTGTTATGCTAAGCAATAACACTTGAACACCATCTGCACATTATCTGTCCCCATTTTTCTATAGCTTGCTTGAGTTAGAAAGCATGGTTAGCCTTTATTCATGGACGTTTTTTAGAACGTGCATAAACTTTTACAGTAATAAGTATGTACCTCAGAGTAAGATAGTATTTGAAAGCTCCAAACTTGGTTATTAGTTTTGGTACCCTTTTCAACCTCTGCATTACATTTGTTCTTGAACACACACTCTGATTTTTCTATAGGAGAAAAAAAGGACAGTTAACCTCCTTTGTAGGGCTCTTGATTGAGAGTATTGTGCAAACAATCATGCTTAAACTAGGCTGTAGCACAGGTTAAACAGTCATACAGGATTATAATTGCTTCAACCAAAACATCAGATTACCATGGTTTTGTACTGGCTAAGCCATGTAACTTATCTTCCTTGGCTTACTTGTGTACAGCTTTCTATTTTTTTTGTATAGAAGGTGCTTACAATGGAGTGCTGATACATAGTAGTTCTGTGACTCTAGTAAACTTCACTTGTCTACCAGTGTACTATTCTGGTAAGAGAAGCTTATGTCCAGTGGAAGTTTTATTAGACTAGATGTTGCCTCAGATGAAGTTCCCTTGGTAGGTCTCATGAGGTGTGGAATGAAGAAGGTAGAATGAGATGCTCAAGTAGAACCTGCAGAGGTAATGGGCACTCCAGTAGAAAAAAATAATGTGAAAAGCTCAAAGTTAGCTGGCGCATAACTACAGTGAAGAAGCTTAATGTTAGTGGAATTGGAGAAGAGTTTTTTTTGTTTTGTTTTGTTTTTGTTTTTTTTTTACTTTGGTTAATAGAAGGAACATGATGAAACAACATGGAAATTGACATTTCAAGACTATGTAGTAAATGTAAATTCGTTGCTTCAGCTGTGATCATCCCATTTGATGGTAAATTTAAAGCGTCTTTAAATTTTTGTATGGAGAAACAGGATTTGCTATTTGTTTAATTCTGGGATATCTTAATATAATTGCTTATATTGCAGATATGCATGGAAGTTCTGTTCTGCTGAGTGTCATATATAGACTGTTCCTGTGCTGCAGTTCATAATTCAGTACAAATGGGTACGTGAAGGGTGAGGAAAGGGACATCATGAAATTAAACTAACTAAAATATTACATGAGAGAGTTCCTTCTGCTTTTTTAACTTCCCTGTAGTTGAGATAGACTTAACTTTGAACTGATTTTGTATAGCTCAGGAAGTCTTGAGTCTTTAAGAACTATGCGAGGGTAAGTAAAAAGGTGGAGATGCGTTGTGGTAGCAGCTGCATTTCAGGGCACAACTTTCTTTAACAACTAGTACCATGTAAGAACATCTGGACCAAATAAAACAAGTGTGAAATCTGCTAAAATTAGTGAATGGAATTTATTTAAATCACTATTGACAGGTTCTAGGTCATTGATTTGTAATATATATGCAAATTTTCTCTGTAAATCAGAAATTTTGTGACTAGATTTCATGTTTTTACTTCAAAACTGTGTGGCTACTTTAAAGTACATGATTATCATAATAGAAGGAACATTATCCTCAGATTACTGTGGTACTAAGTCATTAGACAGCAGTTGTATATCAGAGTTACATCATCATTGTGTTCAGGAAAGTGGAGAATTAAATTCAGTCATTTGGGCGGAGTAGGTGGAGGAAGTTAATATAGTGATTAGTTCAGTTGTGGTAATTGATAGAGATGCTTAGATAAACAATTATTTGTTAACCAAGACCTAATCATTCTTCTAGACAATCTCCTTACTGAATTTGTGGACATAATTACTGGAGCTGTTTATCCCATTTTTACTTTATAAACTTTGGGACAATTTGATTTTACTTTGTGTGTTAAAAAAGCTTTCTATCTGCCAGTTATATTTCTGACTGCAGTACTGATTTAAAATATGAGAGCTGCTCCAAAAGTAACATCTATTTTATTATGTTGGCCCATGACATCAGAGGTAGATGTTGGTGGTATGGCAGTAGAGATTGAGCTTTCCTGCCAATATTCCATTATGTTTTGTTGCTGTGCAACAGATAGCAGCAGAGGGGCAGTCTGACAAAATGGTGCCTAACATAGAAATGCTTATGGAGCAAAGGTGCGTCATTCAATTCCCCCATGCAGAAAAAAATTGTATCCATTGACATTCATAGATGCTTGTTGAATGTTTATGGAGACCAAACAGTGGATGTGAGCACAGCAAGGCTGTGGGTGTTATGTTCCAGCAGTGGTGATGGTGGGTCATCTCTGTTGGTGCAGATTTTGAGCTCAGCATGCAGGCTCTTGTTCATTGCTGGTGAAAATGTATGTGTAATGGTAGTGCCTATGTTGAAAAATAGTGCTTTGTAGCTGACAATTTGCTCCACCAATTAGTGTTATTGTACTCTTTGTATCTGTTGTAGTTTCTATGAAAATAAATAGGAAGCATTACTTTCAGAGCAACATACTTATTGTTTTATCTGGCCTTAACATCTCAATGGATGTAATAACAAAAATTAACTAAACCAGTCAGTTTCACAAATAATTCAAAGTTGAAAATGAATTGTGAGGGAGTTCCATGTACCTCAGATGACTTTGCTAGGTAGTTGATATTAAATTTACACATTCAATGTTATTTTGAAATGAATAGCTGTGATTTGTTATGTATCTTTGGCTGTAGATCCTCTAATTCAAGAAGAAAATTAAAATTTTTTTTGATACAGCTTTTCTTGCAGACAAATGGTACTTAGAGTACACGTGGAAGTGTCCATGGAAGAAAATTGTGAAAAGACTGCAGTATGAAATAAAAGTAAGCACTGCTCCCTTTCCAACTGAAGTTGCAAAAGTAAGATGCATTTGGTTCTTGATATTTATACAGGGCATATTAGCAATGCTTTATAAATTATATCTATGATGGAACATAGGAGGAAAAATAAATCTGAGTTCTTAAAGTACATTGTGTGTTAATTCAACTATTGTGTATGATGTTACTCTTATGCAGAGCTGTTCATATTGAAATTAAACAAATGCAGTATTGAGTTTGATATTTCTGTTAAAGGAAATACCCAGTTACGTACTTGTGATCTGTTAGCAAAAAAAAAATTGATAACTAATTTTGATAACTCAAATGTCATACTGTTAATCATGTGGAATATTTAATGTTCTGGTAGTATCTACTGCAGAGAGACCACTGGAGATATGAGCCCTCCAACTGTATCTGTTGTTTCTTGTGGTTTTTTTTTAAGTAGCTAAATGGCATATGTGTAATAACAATTTGAGTACCTGGGAATAAATGAAGACTTCTGTTGATATAGAGTTGTTTTTAATAGAAATTCAGCTGTGCAAATTTTTCATCAATTGTTACAAAAACTGCTGTCTGTTTCTTGCGACTGTTGTAATTTAGCAATTTGAACACTTAATCATATTGTACTTGGTCCACGTTTGTGAGTGGAAGTTGGTTTGTGTAACCCAGAAGGATGAAAGTTTTTGGGTAGAAGAACAAGTGTCTTGTAAATATGGAAGCAGCAGATAGGAATGCATTCTCAAACATTGAATTGAAGTGTTTGAAAAGTCATTGCTGTTAATAAAATGGGTGGCTATCTTTTCAGTGGTTTTGATCTTACAATAAATATCACTGTAGACTAGACAGAAAAAAAGCTGTTTACTTGCTCTTTAATCACTAACTTGGTTAGTTGTAGGCTCCTTTAGAGGAATATTTGTTTTTCATGTGCTTGGTGTTACTGATCTGTAGGGAATGAGCTCATCTAATTATAGCCTTGAACTAAATAGATTTTTAAACTAATTTTTATTACTTAAGCATTTGATGGCCGCAGAAGAAGAAAGTGTGGCTTAAAGGGAAGAAGCACAGTCTGGGGTTGATAGAAGGTCCTTGTTTTACCTGTTTCCTGTTATATTCCCATTGTTGATAGGGTCTGTCCTTGACTGTAGTTCTGGTGACTATGTAAGGAAGAGCAATCTGGGCAATGTTTTCCTGCTGTGAAGCAAGCCCTCTTATCCCATGCTCTCAACTTAATATTTGTATGTAAAATTGTGAAGACACCTGCTGAAAAACTAAAATAAATGACCCTTAGCTCAGGTTTATTAGGGAAGCTTTACATAAGACTCCTGTGAGCAGAGGGATGTATCATTAGTTCTGGTAATATAAAGGCTGAGTATTTGGTGACATAACTCTTCCACTGATGTGATACTTCCTTGAATAAAAAATATTAAAATAACTTTAAGATCTACTTAATTCAGTCTTCATTGTACTTCCTTTCAGCACTGAATGAATCCATATGCTTGTCACTGATGGATGAAGAGTGAGGTAGGAACTGACGCTGAGATCAAGGGTCAAGTTTAAGTGTATTTCTCCTTCATGAGAGGTAGGCTCTATTCACCTTTAGGATTTTGAGAGGTGAAACTGCAGAAGCTTGTGGAACTAATAGAATGTTTTTGAAAATCTCCGGGTACAACATGCCTAGATACCTTAACATTAAATAAGAAACACATTTTATGCTTCCTTGTCTGACATGTTTTGTGAATTGTTAGATGTCAGTTCATGTTGGTAGAAGTTAAAACCTGCTTAAGAACTGATTGTTCATAATGGTGGAGTCTGGTGGCAGATGGTGTCCCCCAGGGGGGTCCATCTTGGGACCAGTGCTCTTTAACATATTTATCAGTGACCTGGATAGCGGAATTGAGTACAACCTCAGCAAGTTTGTGGATGACTCTAAGAAGAGTGTTGCAGTTCATACAATAGAAGGAAGGGATGCCATCTAAAGGGACCTGGATAAGCTTGAAAAGTGGGCCTATGTGAACCTAATGAAGTTCAACAAGGTCAAATGCATGATGTTGCACTTAGACTGGGGCAATCTCAGATATGCCTACAAACTGGGAGAACAACTCTCATTGAGAGCAGCCCTGTGGAGAAGGATTTGGGGTTCTGGTGGATGCAAATCTTGATGTGAGTAAACAGTGTGCACTTGCAGTCCAGAAGACCAACTACATCGTAGGTTACATCAAAAGAGAGGGGTGGCCAGCAGGGCAAGGGAGGTGATTGCTCCCCTTGTCCTTGTGAGGTCCCATCTGGAGTACTGCGTCCAAGCCTGGGATATCCCACAACAAGGAAGATGTGGAGCTGTTGGAGTATGTCCAGAGGGGGCCACAAACAGAGGGCTAGAACACCTCTCCTATGAAGAAAGGCTAAAGAAACTAAGCTGCTTCAGCCTGGAGAAGAGAAAGCTCTGGGTAGACCTCGTTGTGGCCTTCTAGTACTCAAAGGGACACTCACTGATAGTTTATAACCATTCCCCCTTGTCCTATCACTAAAAGAGGGGAGATTTAGATCAGATATAAGGAAGAAATTCTTAGAGTGGTGAGGCTGTCCAGAGAAGTTGTGGATACCCCAACCCTGGAGGCATTCAAGGCCAGGTTGGATGCCCTGGACAGCCTGATCTGGTGGTTGACAACCCTCCCCATGGCAGGGGGGTTAGAACTCAATTATCTTTAAGGTCCCTTCCAACCCAAGCCATGCTATGAAGCTATGTAATGCTTACCTGTGTTGGGTAGAGAGTAGCTATAGAAATAATTGTTTCATACCTTAAGGATTTTGATGTTTTCTACTCTCACTAAGAAACATATCAGAATAATTTTCAGACTGTTGAAAATAAATTCAATTTCATCTTACACATGAAAATATAAGATCTATTCAGTAAAATCTCATTTAATATATGTGAGGGAGAAGTGAATGACATTAGATATGGAGAACAAACTTAAGATTAACGTGACCCTGTGTTATGGTTTTATGATTTTTGGTTATCGGTATTCCCCATCTTAACATCAGGTAGTGCACTGGGAGTTAAAGAGTTAATGCTCCAGTTCCGGCCACCTGTCTGGAAGAGAAAAACAACTACATATCCCAGAAGACTTTATGTTCAGAGAGGAGATATAACCTCTGGCAAGGTCACCTGATGTCCCTTTTTTCCTTCAGCTCTCTTCCCTGCTGCTTGCCCTGACTGCACATCTCACCTCAGCATATGGTGAGGCCTTCAGTTCTCAAACACTCTCTCTGATTATATTTGATTTATTAACTTCAATTCTAATCATATTGTATTATAGTGTTATCTTGCATTCCGATACCATATTTAGTAAATTAGTTTGTTTTTCCTCAGATCGTTGCTGCTGTGTTTTAATTATTCGGGGTCCCCTGTTTCCCCTTTCCGGAGGCACAGATCTGCAGATCCCTCTACCCCACTAGTCATGGAACCAGGCCGAACCAGCCTGTAAACCGTTGACATCCTGACACTTAGCTAATTTGAACTTGCAACTTAACTGGTATGTAGCAATCAAACTTGGCAGTCTTGTCATAGTTCTGATTTTATGTAGCATTAGAAGCTTATGTAGCATTAGAAGCTTTTGATAAGCCATCTGAATGTGAATTGCTCTTACAGAAGTCTGTTGTTTGTCATCCTTTATTTGAGATCTTGAAGCTCTTTGTATGTTCCCTGTTGTGTTCTGACTGGAAACATCTTTCCATCCCTTGAAACAGTTAATGCCTCTGATTATATTTTTCACAAGAGAAGGAATATTGTAATTATTGCCTGAGTATACCTAGAAAAGCAGAATAAAATCACAGAATTGTAGGGGTTGGAAGGGACCTTCAGAGATCATAGAGTCTAACCCCCTGCCAAAGCAGGCTCCCTACATCAGGTTGCACAGGTAGGTGTCCAGATGGGTCTTGAATATCTCTAGGCAAGGTGACTCCACAACCTCCCTGGGCAGCCCATTCCAGTGTTCTGTCACCCTCGCTGTAAAGTAGTTCCTATGAACTTTCTATAGAACTTACTACGCTCCAGTTTATGGCTGTTTCCCCTTGTCCTGCCCCCACAAACTGCTTAAAAGAGGTTGGCCATGTACCTTTGACTCCTACACTTAAGATATCTTATAAACATTAATAAGATCACCTCTCAGTTTTCTTTTCTCAAGGCTGAACAGACACAGGTCACTCAGCCTTTCCTCATAGGGGAGATGCTCCAAGCCCTTTATCATCTCTGTGGCCTCTGCTGGACTCTTTCCAGGAGATCCCTGTCTTTTTTGTACTGGGTAGCCCAAAAGTGGATACAGTATTCCAGGTAAGGCCTGACCAGGGCAGAGTAGATGGGAAGGATCACCACCTTTGACCCGCTGACCATGCTCCTTTTAATGCACCCCAAGATCCCATTGGCCTTCTTGGCCACCAGGGCACACTGCTGGCTCATGGCCAACCTGTCATCAGGTTGTCACCAGGACCCCTAGGTCCTTCTCCATGGAGCTCCTCTTCAGCAGGTCATCCCCTAACCTGGACTGATACTTGTGGTTATTCTTTCCCAGGTGCAAGACTCTACACTTGCTTTTGTTAAGCCTCATCTGATTTCTTACTGCCCAGCCTGTCCAGGTCCTGCTGAATGGCAGCGCAGCCTTCTGGCATATCAGCCATAAAGCTCCTCCCAGCTTTGTACTGTCAATGTACTTGCTAAGGGTGGACACTATCCCCTTGTCATGGTCATTGATGAAGATACTGAACAAGACCAGACCCAGCACCGACCCCTGGGGAGCACTGCTAGTCACAGGCTTCCAATAAGACTACACCACTGATGACCACCCTCTGAGCTCTGTCAGTCAGCCAGTTCTCAACCCACCTCACCATCCACTCATCTATCCCACACTTTTTCAGCTTCAGTACCAGGATGTCGCATGAGACAGTATCAGAAGCCTTGCTGAAGTCAAGGTAGATGACATTCACTACTCTTCCCCCATCTACCTAGCTGGTGATGCCATCGTAGAAGGTCACAAGGTTGGTCGAGCACAATTTCCCCTTGATGAATCCATGCTGACTACCCCGAACATAGAAAACCAACAGTCAAAGGCTGTGCATCCACAGTCAGCACCATTCTGTCATTCCTAGGAATGTACGAATTTCCTTGGCAGCTTTGCAGCTCAGGGGTTTGGCAGATGTCTTCTTTTGATTGTTTGGGCTTTCTTTTGAGAAACTTTATAATCATTTAAAGTAAGAAATTCAGCAAACTCACAGTCCATTGCACTCAGTCCTCTTTTGTTGTAGCATCCACGTACTGCAGTAAAGTTCTACCCTGGGATGAAGGAACCCAAATCTCAGGCTCACGAGTTGACCAGTTCTCAAAAGTCATTGGGCTGTTCTCACAACCCTGAGTAACCCTGTTCAGGTTAACTGAGTCTTTTCTCCCCATATTGGGGTTTTCCTATTCAAAGGCAAATAACTTTTAGACTTCCTTTGTCAAAAACAGGCAGAAAAAGGTGTCCTTCAAATTGAGAAGGTAAACTCCACCTATTCATTCCTTCACTTGGTTAATAAAGTGTATGGATTTGCCGCTACTGGGTGTATACATCCAACAATTCTATTAATTGCCCTCAAATCTTGTACCAAACTATAGCTCTTGCCATCTGATTTTTCATTGGCAAGATTGTGGTATTGTATTTGGATTCACATTCAATTAGTAATCCAAACTCCAAAAAGTTATCTATTATTTCTTTTATCCTTCTACAATCTTATATCCACAAAGGGTACAACTTTACCCTGACTGAACTAGCTCCTGCTTTTAACTTCTATTGGGGGTGCACTTTTGGCTCTACCAGGTATCCCTGATACCCACACTCCTGAGTATACCTGATTTAAGATTTCTGTAATTTCTGGGGATACAACCTTGTTTTTCCCAGTTTGTGTTAAAGACAGACTTAAAACGTTAAATCAGTTGATATTGTTTGACATTTAGCTCCAGTTTTATTGAATTTAATCTCTGCATGCATTTGTTTTAATAAGTTTTGGCTGAGGAATAGTTTTGGAGAACCTGGCATGTACAAGAATTTATGTATTCCTACTTGTTCTCCCAGCCTGTATTTAATTAACCCCAAAAGGTAAGCTTTTTCTTGTTGGCCAGTAGCTCCTACTACTGCTACAGAAATCATCTAAAGGTAGTAGGAGGCCCCCGTATCCATCAGAAAATAATCCTCTTTATCCTGCTCCCCTAGCTGCAATTTAACCAGTGGATTTGCTATGGTAAAGTTCCCAGTTTCCCATCGTTCAGCTTTTGTGATCAGAGACAGTTCCCTTCTCCTCAACTTGGTACAATTCCTCCACCAATGTACCATTTCCCTGCAGTTTGCACACTTGCTTTCCATCCAGCAGGGGTGGAGCCCTCCCTGGGCTCTTCCAGGCCCCCCCCCCACCTCTTCCTGAGG